ATTTCTAGCCTAGAGGAGCCCAAGGTGAGAGCACAAAAATGACCCTTTCCTTCAGCAGTCCCACTAGATAAAGTGTCTAATGATGAAACCCGGCCAGTGACTACATCCTGCACCATCCACTCCACGCACTTCAACAACCGTGGCTTCAGTTTAACTGGTGGCTTCTTTTCACAGCATAGGAAATGTTCCTTTTCTTGAAATGCAGACGTTCTCACTGTTCTCTGCAGCATCACCTCCTATTTCATAACAGCATTAAATAGCATGTGCACACACAACAGCGGCAGAGGTGCCTTAATCCTTTACATCCTAAGTGTCTTTGGAATTGCTTTATGTCCCCTGCTAGCCCTCATTTTCCCATCCTGTTTAAGTCTTTTAAGTCATAGCTGCACTGCCACAGCAAGACTGGTGAGGGAAGCCAGCACCCCACTCCTCTTCTATAAGCCTAACCCATGCCTCAGCTTATGAGGCCAGGGTGTTTCAGTTTTTCAAGCCTAGTATTCTTCCCTAGGCCAAGCAGCCACAGCTCAGAGTCTACAGGAAAACACATTTGCTGGAATTCTATTCTCTATTACTTTTCTGCACATCCTGGAGTTTGAACTGGCAGCATGATGAGTTTTCTGAAATCATTTGGTGTGTTTGCCGTTTCATTCTTAGCATGCCCACACAAATCACACAGGGACAGAAATCAGGGGGCTTTTTTCCTTATTAAAGAAGAAAGTTTTCCGTTTTCATACTTCGTGAAACCTGCACAGAACACTCTGGAAAACTATTGGCACAATATCTGGAGAACAAAAATAGCTCAAATTTGAACTTCCTGGAATATCACAAAGGCTGTATTTGGTAGGGGCTTACAGAGAGGGCATGTCGTTTCTGGCATGATGAAGGGATAAGACGTTCCTGTTAGAACAATTCTGTTAACGCTACTGGCATTTTATTGCTACTAACCATCTGTTGGCACGTAGGATAGGTAGCTTTTAAAATAATCCTGAATACCTACCTTCAGCTCCAGGGATCTTGCTCATCTTACACCAGTTTTGAAGGAAGGCTCAGATTCTTTCATAAATAGATGCAGCTCTATGAAGTCAAGGAGAATTGTAATTGCTTATATTTAGCTTTGTAAAGATTGCACATGATATGGCATAACTTACAAAGGTTGGATCAGTTTTCCACACTTGCTCTCACACTTTTTACGTGGTTCCGGGTCTGCTTAAATGCAAATTAGCTGTGGAGTTACTTGTGTTTTATATCAGAGTGAGCAAGGTCTCCTTGAAATCATAGAAACCAATGATATAGGAGAAAATAGGCCTAATGCCTTTCCTACTCTGCCCCCTTTTGCGAGGCACATCCAGGAATGCCAGGTTCCATGGCATTTATTTGTGCACAGACCTAATCCTGAGTTTGCCTACGGGAACTGTCACTTAGTTCAAGGGTGCATTTGATAGGGCTTGACCAGTTCCCAGTTTTGGAAAACTTCCATTCCAACTACTTGGCCCTGTACCTGTGTCAGGTTTCTATATCAAGGAGTTTAGCTAGTTCCACTTCAAAGTCTCTGTTTATTTATATCTTTTTAATACTGAGCCACAAATAGTGCTGAGCACTGACACCTCCCAAACTCTGCTCTTGGGAACCTGTCAAACGTGTTGCATGAAGAAGATAACTTCATATTTACTTAACTCCTTCAATGCTCAGGGCAAATGTTTTGAATTTAGATGGGAAAAGATGGGTGATAACAAACTTGCAGCAAACGAATAAGTAAAAAAAAAAAATGGTAGTGACTTGCATGATGATGTTTGATGCTCTGATCTGATGTGGGCAGATCTTTCTTAAGTAACCAAGCTTAAACCCAGCATTTACTCTCTTGCTCTGATTCTCATTTGTAGAACTGGGAAAAGCTCACATCACTTTACCTTACCAGGGGCAGAGGAAGCAAGGATAAATTCAGCAAGTAATGCAACAGTGTGTTAGGGGGCATGCAAATAGTAGTAGGAGAAGTTCTGACAAAGATACCACATTTGCCCAGGCTTATAAAACAACTGAGTTCAAGAAAATTAGATACTCCCTGGTTCTCCTCAAGGCATAAACAACACAGAATCACAGAATGATTTGGAAGGGACCTTAAAGACCATTTAGTTCCAATCCCCTGCTATGGGCAGGGATACCTTTGACTAGATCAGGTTGTTCAAAGCCCCATCCAACATGATCTAACTTGACCTTAGATTTCCCACTGCCAAGAGCTGAAATAACAAGCTGTGTGCTCCTTTTTTTCCCCCCAGATTAGCAAGACCTACAGTGATAGAACAGGTAACTGTAAGTGAGAGGAAGAATGACAAATCAGTATGTATAATTATTCCTTTCTTTCTTGAGGATGCTCAGAAAAAATCTTATTTATCTAATAAATTTAGGACTGAAACTAGGGCCGAATGCTTTACTAAAAGAAGAAAAAAAAGGGGGGTGGGGAACTCCAACAAAATAGTGTGCAATGTAGCAGCAGCACCTCATCCAGAGCTGCAGTGCTGAACATGGCACCACACTGAAATCAGCTGTTTTTAAATGGATTCTGGCACAGCGTGAGCTCCTTCTCTCTGAAAGTCTTTCCCATGCTGTGCCAAAACTGCAGCCGTGCTGGGTTGTGGGGTGCCTACGTTTTTCCTGCCACGAGGGGGACTCCAGGGCTTTCACCCTCACTGAGAAACAAGGGGCACACAGCAGGGTACTTTAAAATGGCTGGTACTTCTCCAAATAGACCTACTGCCCTCCCGTGGCTGCCAAGAATCATCTCTGATGCAGAAACAGGGAGCCCAGGGACTGAGGGAAACAAATAACTATATATTCAATTTAAACCAAAACCCAAGTTACAAAGAATAGGAAAGCAAATACAGTGTGATTGACTAGAAGTACCTACGAAGGCAAGAATGAAGCAGGGAAATTTACTGGTTTGGGAGTAACAGGGAGAAGTCCAACTACTTTTGCAAGGACAGTGAGCCTCGAGCTATTCTTCACCAGAGTCCATCAGAGAGTGCCATTTGCTCAGAAGGATGGTCCATCTAACTTCATCCGACTGCCTCACAGAGAATACTCCACTAGCAACAGTGCAAAGAAGGTATCGGAGAGCAGACCACTGCTCCTTTTTCTGACTGTAGTATACAGGTGCTATGACCTTGCTGTATCTACTAATCCTTATTGGTACAGCTTCAGCAGTTTTTTCTGAAACACCTCGTACTGCAAATGTGTCCTTTTCTCTCTGTGAACCAGGAGGAGACAACATTTCTACCACAGATTAGCTTCTGAGGGCCTTCTCTTAAGAGCCTGAAGTTAGGTTTTATGAATGAGATCTTGAGTACTCGATGAGAACTGCATGGTTCTGCATGGAGTGTCTTGTTTCTTACACTCTCTTCATGGCTGTGCTGCTTCTTGTGCACCCTCTGTGGGCAGAGCACATCTCCAGTCTTTGATGCACTGCAGACACTTCAAACACAATAATCCTGGGACAATCAAAACCAAAAGCAATAGTGAAGTTGTTTTTGGAAGCAAGAGAAAACACAGCAATAAGCACAAGCAGCAACTCCCTGCTCAGAGGGTGACAAGGCCAAAGTGGTTCAATTGCACACGCTTCTAACGAAGGCACTAAATGCTGCAAGGAGGCCATGTACCTCCCAGCAATGAAAAATTACATTGGGGATTTGCATTAGGCACCATTTCTGTTCATGGACTTGGCTTCATCCTAAAGACTGGTGTATGCTTAAGCTATATTTGAGATTAGATGCAATGAAACACTCATTTTAGACTGGAGAGGAGGAGGGAATGTGACCAGGATCATGTAGGAAAATGCCAACACATGGCCCTTCCTATAGGACTTGAGGCTGTTGAGTGACACCAGCATCAAGAAGGACATCGCCCCCGCCTACCTGTGCTTTTTCAGGGATGTGCTCAGTGGGAGTATTGGGATTTCTTCAGGGTGACAGAGACTGCAGTTCAGCAGAGCATGCAGCAAGTAGAAATTGGTGAGTGAACACAACAGACAGACAAATGTTTTGCTCCTTCAATTTGCCAGGTCACTGAGTCAGTATCTCACGTAGCAGCCAACTACTAAGTAGAGTAAATCCTGCCCTCTCCATTTTCACAGCTTAGGCCATGCTGTACAACATTAACATCACCAACAAAACTTTGCTTTAGGCACATGTGAAAATGTCCACAGAGAAGAGACATCACTCAATGTCATTTTAAAATTTGCATGTATTTGTGTATATACACACACAAACACACACATATATATATATATTTGTAGTAAATACATATGAACTTCTACACAATTATAACCACTCCAGTATATACATGCTGTCACTCACCAGGACAATACATTCTGTTGCACTGACAGAATCTCTTGCTTGGTTACCTTTTGAATTGCTCAGTGAAAGGCCAATCTTTGGCAAGTAGATATCTGCAGAAAACCACCAGCTCCAGCAGTGATCCTTCAGTATTTGAAGGTTCCCCTCCCAGTTTCCTTCAAGTATCAGCTCTGCTTTCATAGAAATAAATTGTTTCTAACAATATGCTACAACCCTGATAAGCCAAGCAGGATATTTCTTCCAGCACATACAAATATTTCACATCCTCTCCATGCCACGCAATGCAAAAAGTGAAATCATGTTTGCCAGTGATTGTAATCCAATTTGGCCCCATAACTTAGTTAAAAAGAACAAACACAAACAAACAAATAGAAAAAACAACTCTCACATAAACCTTAAAAATCAGCAGACAGAACTCTACTGATTTACGTTTCCAAAGGAAATACCTTTTAGTAATAGTTAACTCTGTCTGCAGCTGCTAAGTCCAAACTTTGCAAATGTAGAAAATGAGGACAGAAAACTAACAGAGAGGAAGAATTACTTATTGTCCAGGCTGAGACACACACACACACACAACTCGTAAAAACCCTTATGTCCTTCTTGAAAATCAGTTTGAATCACCTGCATGATGTCCTTGTTAAATATCAAAGTAGATTAGCTGGAACAAGTTTATTAGAAAAAGGTACTACATTAAAAATGTGTAATTCAAAGCCTTATCTAAAAAGTTTTTCAGAGATAAAGTTCTCCATCTCTCACTGACGTTGCATTATTCACAAAATCTTGTGTTACATATTCTGACATTGATCAGCTGTCAAAGAAAAAAAAGCTTGTTTGCATAACAAACACTCAAGTAAAAAGGAAAGGAGAAAATCACAGAACTTGGCTATTACTGAAAAACTGACTCTCAGAGTAGAAATAAAGTCATTTTCAAAGGTGGAGAAAACATAAAGGTTAAGTCAGACCTATATATTTTTTACTGGCACCAAGCACCAATTTTTTTAATGAACTCACTTGAGTGTGTGTAACTATTCCTAGAAGCAATGTAACAGCAGATTAAAGTTTGCACCCCAATATTTTGATACAAACTATGACAGGATATTTCCAAAAGAGTCCCTTTGAAAGTAAATAGCTATTTTAAAACTTGTAATGAAAAAAAAAAGTCTTTAAACTGTACAAAAACCTAGGCAAACCAAGCCTCAATCAGTGTAAGAGAGGGACCTCTTCATAAAGGGAAGGTAATTCCTCCTTTGGAGTAGTTACAACAATGCACAGAAATGAGACCAGAAACACACACAATGAGTTACAGGTCTGATTTACTGGAGTTGTTCAGTCATTTCCACCTTAGGGTAATTTGAGGATTCCAGTATGGACCCAGAAAAATATTTTAAAAAAAAATAAAACCTTGGGAGGAGAGAGCAGTAAAGTATCTGTTTTCCCACGCTGAGGATCCAGTGTGCTGGAATGGGCAGCCCCGCCTCCATTAGCTGTTGGCTGCAGTGAGGGATGCATCCCACCACTGACACCCTGTCTAGATCCATCATGGCTTGCTATGTCTAACTAAGGTCAGAATAAATAGGCATTTGGGGCACTTTCAACAGACGTTGTGTGCACAGCAGCCAACTGACGAAGTTCAGCCTCACTGCTCCAGTGCTCACACGCTGCTCTGTTCTGTGCACGTTGCCTGCTCTGCTTTTCTAATTACTTGAAGCTCGTGTTTGCACAACACCTCAAATGTATGAAAACTCAGAAATTCCACAGCACAGTTAAAGTTGTCTGCAGTTCCAGGGCTAAAACACCTTAGCTTCTGGAAGATCAGACCAGATCAGACCCCTCACCTCTCTAGTGTCCCATTCTACATACAGGTTTCTGTGCTCACAACAGCCACTGTGCACATCAAATAACATAAAAGTAACACTCTGACATCAGCAAGGAGCCAGGCTTTTCACCAAGAATCCTGTGAAAAATCTCAGTTTAACCGATAACTATTAGATTTTTAGTACACAGCATGTCACAGAATTAGTGTTTTCCTTACAAATATATGGCATTACGTGTAAAAACTTTATGACCTATTCCAAACAGTGTACCATACTTCACAGCAAAGCTTGAAAAAGAATCCTCTAACTCCCACTTCTTCTAAATATACAGCTGGTGGGAGGCCAGGGTGTCCATGAATGGTCGCACAAGGTTGTCTGTCGAGAAGTAAAAGATCAAGCCAAAGGTGATGGAGATGGGAAGAGCAGGCAGTGCCTTCTTAAAAACAGCCAGTAATAAAAGTGTTAAGCATAAACCCTGTAAGAGAAAAGAAAATAAAAAACACGAGGACATACAGTAAGATGACCAGAAACGTATCTGCCACCAACAACCCAATATACAGCTAATCAGCTACGTGCACTGTACAGCACTGGAGCCTGCCTGGGCTACTAATGGTATGATGTATATTTGCCCACAGCTTCATCTTTTACACGGGTTGGCCAGGTTTTTCCTCAGCAATCTTGAGCACATCTCTCTGCTGAGACTGGTATAAACAGCCAATGCTGACATACAGCTGACCCCAAGAGGTTAACTTATTTACAGATTATTTCACTTTTTGTTCTGTGCCATTATGTATGAAGTACTGACTCAGCAGACAAAAGCACTTGAATCCTGCTAAACTGCAGACAGAAGCTTCACTGAAGGACTCTAATACACAGCAGGATGTGCTTATAACATCTTCCCAGTTTACAAGGTCTCTTGGGGTAAAAAAAGAAAAAAAAACAAAATAAACCAAACCAACCCAAATATCCACTGCTGTTCTTTTGACTGGATTGCTTACTACGATAGGTGAATTCTGGTTTAATCTGGATAGGAAACCAAGCTCTGTTTTCTAGAGCATGTGTGGAAGCTGTTGTACATTTTGGGTAGACAGTGAGGCTTAGTGCATTTAGATATCAATTCCTTCTCTCACCAAAACCCTTTTTAATTCCTCCATGATGACAAACCTTCAAAGACACTAGGCTCCAAAAATACCCACTAGCTAAAGATCAGCAGATAGGATTTTCTAATCATTTTTTATAACTGTTTATAGGCTACAAGTTTGTTTACAATCCACCTGAGCCTGTGGCTCTGTTCTTATACTCTTAGGGAACATATCTGGCCTACATCTGCCCCTTAGTTCATATCTATCTTTAAAGATGTGCTTACTGCTGGGGCACTGGAGGGATATTTTTGGGGAACCAGAAAGCCACACAGCAGCAAGATTATGAAACTGCAAAAGGCAACAGAACGAATTTTAACAGCGCTGTAAAAGACACAGACTGGGGCATTCGGCCTCATGGACAGACAAGCAAGAACATTTCCCCAGTGCTGGACCCCAGGATATGGAGGTAGGTGATCCTATAGGTTTCTCTGACCTATGGGGTAGGAAAGCTACACTCAACACACTTTATTTAAGGTACCTCATTTCGAGCTCTCTTGCTCTTTGATCCAAAGTCTTCACAAGTGAAAGTCACTTTCACTATACTTAGGATCTTACCGGGGAAACAGCAGCCCGAGAAAGACACGATAATTGATTTTCTTTTACATTCTAAAAATCCTGCCTTTCTCGTTGTTAGTTTCCATGAGGATGCTGATTAAACAGCAAGTGCATAGTAATCATTTTCTACCTAGGTGAAAGCTTAGCAGTGTGTGGTCATTAGACCTGGCAGGACCTGCTCCTTTAGCAGTTACAGTATGTTTGTCCTCTGCTTTTACTGATAATTTCCATGGATTTAAGTCTCCTTCCTTTCCATTTTTTCCAGCCCAAATACTAGAATAAAGTAGGTCTTCATCCTCTTACTAGCAGCTCCCTTTAGCACAAGGGAGTTAACCTTTTCAACTACATTTGCTAATCAATGTAGTGTTTGTAATATTGACTCTTGTGGCTGATAAAAGTCCCCAATTGTTTAATGCTGAAACAAACACACCAACAGTTCAGCTGCAACTGTTTTTCCTGGGGCTGTTTCACCCCCTTGGCTCTGCTCTGATGAGTCTGTATCGTTCAGGTTCAGTGGCTGCTTGAAGCCTGTCTTTATACACAGAACACTGGGTGGTTTCTCCTAAATATCTGGCATGTTACCTGCAGTGATTTAGCAGTGCTCAGCTGCTGGTACTTCTGGCAACACTGCTGTGCTAAACAGGGTGTAACAGAGCTTTTAAAAGCCTGCTCACTTACTATGAGAATGGCTACAAAGCAGGCGAGCGTAGTATTCCAGTCTCCACTAGCTGTGGCAGCTGCTTTCCCAACAAGCACACTGTAAAATATGAAGTCTCCAAGGCCCAGCTTCACGCCCCCTGAAAGAAGTGGAAAAAGAAAACAAGTATTAATTTTGAGCCTCCTGTTTTGCTTCCTCTGGAACAAATTCTTGTCCCCTGGAAAGCAGGTGAAGGTTCCTAGTCCTGGCTACCAGCCTGGACCCACACATTTCCAAGGAGGCTGACACTTCCAGCCCCGCCTCCCGCTGTTTTTCCTCAGCCTCATTCTCTGAGGTGCTTCCCTGGGCTGCGTTATAATGTACTGCCTGAGGAAGCACAAGGACAGAGAGGGACAGGAGGCAAGGGGAAGAAGGAACTGTTCAAATTGTACACATAGGCAAGAGATGTCACTGGAACTACAATCCCAGAACAGATTCTGCTGCAGCAAGAAGTAATATGCAGTCAGACTCAAGATCTTTGAGTCAGTTGTTCAAACAAGTCACAACTCTTCAAATTAACTGTCATTAGTCCAAACTGGGTAAGAGAGCACTAACCACAAAGAGTATAAATGTCAGGCTCTGACTAGACTGAAAACAAGGTATAAAGCTTCCCTTACTTTCCTCCTCCTCGAGCTCCTCTAAAGAAGTGATGGGGCGGGTTGGAACAGGACTCCTCGTCTCTGACATCTGAGAGTCTGCATGTGAAGGGCTCCTGTGGCGTTCTCTCCCATCCTCAGCTTGGTTCCACAAAAACAGGCCAAGAAGAGCATACCAACAAGAAGAAACACAAGAGGTAGCTACATTTATAACTTGTTTTAGTGGATGAAATCCACACTTCTGTGAAGCTGCTGTGGAATGGGTAAGCCCTTTGTTTCTTGGAGGTGTGATCATCACAACCAGTTCAAGCAGAGACATTAAGTGGCTTTGAGGAAAACAGGTTATTATTTGTAACACTTGGAAGGGTACATGTTCACAGCTTCTTTGGCAGCCACCCAGAAGTTCAATGGGTTACCAAGCGAGCACGTACACAGACCTAAGCATTGCCCTGCACGGGCTACAATGACAAGTAAAGCCAAGTAAAGTTAATATGCATTCCCACATTGTCATACCTTTGGGGTGGAGGTGCTCAGGTATTCCCTAACTGGCAATATGACAAAAATGGATGACTAAGAGGACTGCCATTTATGAGAAAAGTCCTGCCCCGATCACACTGACATTGGAGCTGCGTGTTCACATATAAAAAGCAGACACATTTCATTGTTCACAGATTTAATCCCCCCCCTTTAAAACACATCTGAGAGAGCCCTTGATAGTGCTTTTGGAAGCAGCCAGGCTGTGATCCATGATTCTATCTGACATTTCTTATTTTTCAGAAGCTCATACAAACTCTCCAGTCCACATCAGTCTGACAGGAGGATGCTGCTACCACAGAGGTTTTCTGTACACCTCAGCAAGTAGTTTGCACCTGCTCTGGGCCCAGTTTCAAAGCAGGATTGTGGCCCTGCCATTGCTTAGTTTGTTGGCTGCTTTATCCTGAAATAAGTGGCATGTTCAGTTATCAAACCTTTGCATACATTTATTGCTTTAACATTAAAAGGTACTGTCATCTCTGAAGTTCTGCAGTTAACAACACTGAAAAAAATGCATCTGTGAGGATTCAGGGCCTTACTTTTACTTGCAGTCTCAAACACAGACATTATTTCCATGGGGCAGTGCTCTATATAGAAGAGGAACATGCAAACAAACCTGTATCCCATGTCTGCTGACTTGATCCTCTTGCTGCTGTGTCTGGCTTTGCCATTCCAACTGTCCACATCATAGCAGCTAGAAGAAAGAGAGAAAGTAATCGGCTGCATAAATCATTGGTCACTATAGCCCAGAGGAAATAAGTATTTAGCTGTCCCTAAAAATACCAATCTTTGTCCTTCTAAATGCTTTTAAAACACTCACTCTTAGCTGGTTTCCTCAGGCACTGAGAAGGCAAGGTGGGAGAAAAATAAGGCAATGCATCCATTCAGTTTTTAAGAAGGTCCCAGAGCACAAATAGCTAAGAGTCAGTATAGTCTTCTCTGTGGGCTAAGGAAAGCAAAATTCCAGAACTAGGGTCTTCATCTCCTTTGTTTTCTTCTGGGTTTCTGGCTTTTCTCTTCAGAGGACAGATTTTCCCGGGAAATGATGGTAGTACAAAAGGTAACCAGAGGTTAACTTAACAGCTTACGCATGTTCTGCTAGAGGTACAGCACACAAGTGAGGGATATGCAGGAGTTGTCACAGTGCTAGTTTTCTCTCTGCCTGTTTGTTTTGTTTCCATCCTGTCAAATATTGCCTATTTCTGTTTTGGTTCCAATAACAACTGAAGGACGCTTGGGAGTTTATTCTTGAGACGGATCCCTAAATTAAAAAGGAATACAAACCATTCCGAAATCAGTGGAAGGAAACTCAAATTATCTGTTTATTTAAGTGTGCATCAGTCTTCCTGTTTTTTTAAAAGCTAAACTAAACAAATCAAGCCAAGGCAAACACAGTGCCCGCTTTTCTGCTACAAGCTCAGCCAAGCTGATGCTTTTGCATCTAGTGGGAGCCACAGAATGTGGTCTCGCAAGGGAGACACTGATGTTCTGCACAAGGACTTCTCATTCAGTATTTATGATTTGCTGAACTGCATTCTCCTTTAGAGAAACTCTTTGTTTGTTCACTAAAGCATGTGAGAGACTTCATCTTGAGGTCAGTATAACAATCTCCAGTAAAAGGGAGGGCAGCTGAAGCCAACTGAGGCTTTCCTTGGAACACATAAAAGCATTTATATAACATTAAATGCTTGGGAAAAAAAAATCAATCAGGTTGTAGACATCCTCAACTTAGCACCAAACACGGAAATACTCATTCATCTTACAAGTGATGTAATGAAAAGTCACTGAGGTCCATGAAGCACCTGAGTCCACGTCCAATGAGCATTGAGTCTCCTGCATTGACTACCTTAACCTTAAGCACATATATACCTTTGCGGATGAGGGCACCAGACACCGTGGTAGTTAAACAGCCCAAGAAAACCAGGGAAGAGACGAGTGATTTTGTCTGCAAAGCAATACTTGAACAGAGCCCTTTGCAAAGCAGCCACATAACTAACAATGAAGCAAAGACATTCTAAGCACTACCATCTGTACAGGACACAGGGCAAGAGGGGAATGCAGGAAGAATGGAGCCTCATCACATGTTTAAAGTGAGTCTGTAAAGCTTACCCACAAGGCATAAGTTATTGAGTTAGCATCACCTAACCACAGAACCCTACAAACACAACTGCCCACCTTACACACGTTTTCATATGCAGAAAAAAGGGGCATGTTCTGCACTGTATTCATTAAAGGATAAATCTTCTGAACATTTCAGCTCCACAAGGCAAATGTGGGCTTCCTTTGGCTAATTAGAGTTGGCACCATTGTAACTGATAAACAAGGCCTTCTAAAATGGTCTGTTCCAAAATATAAATGTGTACCAATCTTAGGGCAAGGAAGTCACTAAAATAGTGCTCTTTGGTTTGACACAGAAACAGTTTAATAGAGTTTAATCTGGCTAAAAACATTAACATTCTAATCTTACTCACAGGAATATATTAATGCAGGGAAAATTGGCTCATTTCTCTCCTGTGCAGTTTCTACCAGCATTCTCAGTGGCCCCTTGGGACAGAGAACAGCCATCAGATCTGCAAAAAGAAAAAGGCCAGTCAATCTTATCCTGAACTATCATACATATTTTACATTCTTTATCTTTAAAAAGGTATTCTCCCCTCAAAATAACATATATCAATATTAACTGGATGATTTCCTGAATGGCAGTTTCCACCACTTTGCATAACTCTAGCTGTTCTAGTCCCTGAAAATGTTGTTCACTTAAAATACCATCTCCAAGCCTTAACGTAATAATAAGAGTTTTCATTGTGCTAATCCTATAAAAAGCCTCTTGAGAATATCACATTATTTCTTTGAAAGCAGATGACAGCATTTCATTGAGGTGTTAAATTTAATTAGAGGAGGAGGAGTGGGGGTACTTTGTTCACATTCCACAATCCATGACTACATACACAGGCTCTGTGTATCACAATGAATGAAGGCCTTTGGTCCAGTACCTCTTTGCCTACTCTCTCTCCTCCATCAGAGCTCTGCCCCAATTTGAATGTTACTTCCTGGATCCCTCTTGTTCTGCAGGTTCTCTTGAAACTTATACCTCATACCAAAATCTCCGATCCCTCGATAACAGTAAATAAAACCTGCAAGACTATCAGGTTGCTACTGATAAAAATCCAACCACCCCTACCATGCAGTTAGGTGTGGTTCAGTACTTCCCTGACTTGGTGATCCACTTTGAAAGACCTGGTAGGAATACACTACCTACACAGCCAAGTTAGCAAGAGACAAACTAGGGAGTCTACTTAATTGCCCATTTGCCTCTTTCTAAAGCTGGTAGCACCATAAAGCTGTTTTTCAATGACATACACAGTCCTGAGATTGCTTCAGTGACCTTTCCAGGAGCCACACCTTGAGAGTCACAACCCAGACTTACCATAGATGGAGATTGCACCTAGAATCACCCATGCTGACCACTCAGGTAGATATTTAATGAAAACCAATGCCATTAGAGCACTGATCATAATGAGATATGCTTGCTGGAGCTGCAAGGGACCTTTCCAGTGGATGCAAATCATTCCAACAGCTCCAAAATTCCAGATGACTAAGAACAGAGTGGGGTAATCCATGGCCACATTGTAGGTCTTCAATACTTCACTGAAACACAACAAGAAAATTTAGATAAGCAATAAAAGCAACTGACATGTAAAGCATCCTACTAGCTGCAGTTAAACAAACAAGCCTCCAACTACACCAGGAGGAAGCAGAATAAAAGCAACTCTCAATCATGAAAGGGGAACCTGCCCTTTGGCCAGTTGCTGCTCTGAGTTCTCGGTTCCTCCTGCATGAGATGGACACCTTGTGTGTGCAGACAAGCACCACACTGCCCTAGTCCCAAGTTCAACAGCGATTCCAAGGATTTGAGCAGGCAGGATTTCAAGTTTTAACTGAACACTGGCCTGCAGCTACATGACTCTCTACACCAAAGAAGTCACATAAGTGTCATCCCACCAAATGCATGATGCTCAGAGTTAAAGACGAAAAGTCTTAACAAGTGCCACCCACAAGTTAAAAGTCTGAGCTGGGAGCCAAGGGAATGAGCTTGAAACAATGTAGTCTAAGAAAAAGGCAAGACAAATCAGAGAAGCAACTCAGCACATGAAGTTCATCTCCATTTGCTTCTCATTGTGTAATTCAGGGCCTCTATACCACAATGTTCAGCCTGTTCATTTCATGCTCACAGTATCACTTCCCAGTGATTTTTTTACAGCAGGTACTGTAAAATCAGGCACTGCCTAATAAAGACCTCATTTTCCATTTTTTAAAAAGAAAGCTATCTGATTCTAACAATCCTAAAACCTCCATTTGGAGAAGGGGAGACATTTCTTTCCTTGTTCAAGCTGGGGACTTTCTGCAAAAAGAGGAGCCCTGACCTGAGAGGTTACCTGCACCATTCCCACTTACCCAAGATATATGTAGGTAAAGAGGAAGAGCAGCATCAAAGAGGACAGGATCAGCCAGCCATGGATGAACTGTCAAGGGCAAGAAGAGACAGTGATTGTAAGGGCTGTTACCCCTGCACAGGTCACAGTACTGCACCCTGACAGTCTCCTTCTGCACTCCTCCTCCCGTGTCCCCATGGTCAGTCAGGGAGGAGGGACAGCCAGTTCCTCCCAGTTCTCCCAAACTCTTTCACTTCATATTCTGTGTCTTAGTGGTTTTGCTGGTTTGGGTTTTTTTAAGTCTCTTTCCTATGCATTTCCATGGATATCCATACTTGCTCCTAGCTTAGGTGAGCACATTCTCTCTGCTTGATGGGGAGGATGACGGATTTACCCAAGGCTGTAAAATAAATTCATCTTTGGGACAAGTTTACAAAGCAGGAATGGCCAGAGCTCAAATGCTGGGCTGGTACCACCTATTCCCTGGGCACCACAGAACCTGAATGTGCCTTTCCCTCCAAGCCTAGTGCTCTTCCACCAGAGCTGCTACAGACAGGAATAATATCAGTTCCCACAAAGGCTGTCTGAAATGTCTTAAGAGAAGGAATACACAGTAAATGGTACAACTTAGCCCATAAGTACAAATGGCAAAACCTTTGGATCAGATGGAGAAAACTCAGACCCAAGTAACACAAAGCAGAAGGCCTCGTTTTTAAGAGCCTGCCATTAGTGACTAAATAACAGCAGCGCACATGCAGGGGCACAGCTCTACCACCACTGACAAAGGCTTCACTTTGATACCTGCTATGACTGAGATGTGGATTAGCCAGTGCAGTGCCTATATTTCTCACTGACACGCAAGGCCCACTTGAACTCAAGCTCAGGAATAGGTGGAAAAGGCTCTGTCACGAACGCTTTACCTTGTAGCAGCGATATTTATAGAGCAGAACTAGGAACACAGTCATTACAATGATGACACTGATCATTATGATAGTGTTCAACACCGAGTTCAAGAGGCGCTGGCCTACAGACGGGGTATCCTCACTGAAAGGGGTGTAGATCCTGCAGGAGAAAGCAAAAGCCACGTAAAGTATATATATTCTCTTCTAACTAACCACCCCAGATAAAACCAGACCTCTCTGTGTGTGGGAAAGAAAGGGAGGTAGGACTATCAAGGACAGCAAAAACGAGATGTAGCCTCTGAAGGGGCTGGACTCAAGTTTAATTATCAACTAAAGATTAGTGGTCTCTATCAAAACCACATTCCTACAGAGAAGCTGTGGCTGGCAGAGCTCAAAACAAAAAGGCCTAGAGTATAAATGACTTTAGTTTAGTAACTGCTCTCCAGGCCATGAATTTTTATTGCATGCTCTGGATCCTCTCCATGATAATTAGGAGGATATATCCCAGGTGCTGTTCTGAAAGGGGGGACACCTTTTCTTTCCACACTTGGTAGGAGAGTCTTGGACTCTTTTACCCCATCTCATCACCCTGCACCCCTTCCCGCCACCCTGTTTTATTTCCTTTGGTTCAGTTCAAGGGACTACAGTCCCTGTTTCTCCACTCAATGTGTGAAGCACAGTTAGAGCCCCAGGAGACAGGCCCTAGGAGTCAGACACAGTCAGCAAGAGCTGGATGGAGTTATGTATCCACACCATGACTCTTCAGGAACCAGAAATATCACCAGGAAATGAGACACTCATCCAAATGAACATGCTATTCCCTGATTGCTGCCAGCTAGTGAGTGAACAGCCTAGGAGTTTGGCCCAGGCCTTCCATGCTGCAGAATGAAGCAGCTCCACTATCACGCTGCTCACAGGCCTTGCTCAGGGCACCCTAACGACAGCGCTAACGAGTCGCTGTTAATGCAGGTATGGGAAAAACTTACACAGGTGAACGTAGCATTCTTTAGTAAGCTCTCTGCATGTTTATAGAGCCACCTTTACCTGTGTAAAGGTTCTCCCAGCCTGCCAAGGGAGCGCTACGCGTGCACAGACGTGTGGGCACGGAGGTGTGTGTGAAGCCGGGGGTCCCACGTTACTCAGAGGCTGTTTGCAGACCCCACTTACAGCTGCCCGTTTTTCTCCGTATAGAAGCGCACTGACTTTATGGTGGCGACGACAACAATCATACAAAGGGTGACAGGCACAAAGAGCATGATTACATGCTTTGCTCCATATTTCAGAGTCAGTTCCTCCTCTTCATTTTCCGGGGCGCTTTCTCTCACTGGAACACCCGAGCCAGGCATTTCTCCACCCGCAATATTGTTTGGGCTACGGCTGCTACCTGCTCGCCGCTTCTGAAAAGAAATATTAGCAAACATATAAGATGCTTATTTTCTTTGTGTTCAAAGCTTTATTCCGTCATATCTTATGAGGCTGCTGTAGGCCACCACAGTATACCAACTGGGTTCTAATAAAACCTAGTACCAACTAGTTATAAAATACCAACTGAACAATACAATAGAAGTTCCATTGCAAACAGGTTGCAGTGGAGTTTTTAAACCAAAACCATGAATATCTAAGGGTCTCTTCAAGTGCAAACATATAGAGGGGCACATGAACACAAAGGGTAAGATGCCCAGAGCTGAGACAGAAGAAATGTCATCTGAGGTGGCATAAGCTTGACAATTTCCTCCCCCTGCCAGCAGTGCGGTGCTTGCTTTACCCTGCTGCTTTGCTGGCAGCTGGACTAGATTGTGTTCATTAGCTGCATCAGACCAGAGCAGAAAAAGGGTGTCTGGCAAAACAAGAAGGCTAAAAAGGATATCCTGCAAGAGTCATATGTGCATCAGGTCCTGATTAAAAGCCTGTATCTTTACCAAAAGGAAGGAAAAGGGAGGAGTATATATGGAGATAAAAATGGGGAAAAAGTCATAGTGGAGGAAATGGGAACAGGCAATGCTGCTGCTGGCTGAGAGTGACACCAGGGAAACAACACTGGCCAAAGACAATCCAAGAAGCCAGTCTGCCAGGAGGGATTGAGGGGTAGCAGGACAACATCTGTCATCACACCCCATGTCCTCACTCCCCAGGATGGACGCACACCTACCCTGTGTGCCTGCACTTCCCCTGCTTCCGAGGCTTGCAGGCCATCCTGGTAGGAGGGTACTGGAGGGCTCTCTGCAGACATCAGGGATGTTCTCTCATTGCAGGGCTCCTCCTCACTGTCCGAATTGTTCATGAATGTGATCATCGCCGCTTTCCTATGGAGCACTCAGGAGGGGCACAGCCAAGCACTACTCAAGGCTGAAGGGACAAGCAGAGCAAAGAAAACAGTGAACACCACAGTGCAAACAATGGGAGTCTGAAAAGGAGGCACAATTTCAGCAGGGAGGCTACAGCATGCCCCGTAACTCCATCTTCTCCTAACAGCTGATTTAGTCTCCCATCACCCCAGGCATGACAATCCATTCCATTAAAGTCACTGTGACTTCTGCAGTCAGGGAGATCAGCAAAATGCAGCACTGAAGAAACCTAGTACTTTTTCTTTCCCAGAGCTTTTGCAGTTGCTATCTCTATTTTCCCTCTCCTACCAGTACACCTTGCCTTCCACACAGAAGGTTTCTCAGTGCTCAGTGTTTATTTTGCACAGGCCAAACAAAGCTTTGCTCAAATGCTGGCTGCCTGATAGAAAGCTAAGAGAGCTCAGCTCTTACACAACACTCTGCAAGCATTTGGCAAGTAGCAGAACTTTCTTAGGAACCTGGAGCCTCAGCTTTACATAAGCCACTAATCAGGAGTTACATGCTGTCTTCCCTGTTATGACTGTTTATTAACCAGATGAATGTTATAAGCAGTTCTTCTCTTTGCCCATGGACAGGGAGAGGCTTGTATAGTAAGGAAAAGACCTGTTTCCTTAGGAGAGCCACTTTTGGGTTTTTTGTCTTGTGATTAAAAGCAAAATTATTTGGATGGGCAAAAACTTGGAATATAAAAGTGGGGAATAGAAATGTTTGGCCTCTTTTCACCTGTGGCTGTGCAGAAAAGCAGGCAAAGCAGTGACACAGTGCAGAAAAGAAAGAACAGCTCTCCCTTCTAAACACCAGAGGGAGAAGGTACACTGCCCTGGATACTGCAGAACAACCTTAAAGTCAGGGTTTCAGGAAGCTTTAGAGACAAATGATAGGAAAATTCTCTCTAGCATTTATTAAGTCAACTTAACAAAACAATTGAAGTAATTAAGTCACCTTCTGATTCTCAGCCACCCATCCATAAGCAAAACCATACCTCTAATGCATTCTAAGCTGTAATATCTGCAAGAAAACACCTCCCCTCTACAGTACTTTACCCAAGCTCATGCGTCTCAGGAAATAGATCCAACTCAGAAGAGGAAGCTGAAGAAGCCACGTGATTTGGACGCAGTCACTTAAATCTGAATCACACATTCATAGTCCAACCATCACACTCTGCTGTCTACCAGCCAGCTTGAGAGGTCAGCATGGGTACTCTGAAGATCTGTGAGATATTCTTGCTTCTCACTAAAGAAACTGAAATTTGCTTTCAAGGAAGGAAAGAGGGAGGAATGGAAGATCTCCCTTTCTTTCACAGCCTCCTCAAC